TGTACTCTTGAAGTTCTATACTTGTATTGTCTCGATGTAATATTTTAAGTTAATAAAATACTCTCTCCGTCTCAAATTAATTGTCATAGAAATGGATGAAAATATATGTGACTAGAACTAAAATATATTCAGCTAGATACATCCATTTATGCAACAATTAATTGCGGACAAAGAAAATAGTACCAAAGAATATATTTGAGTGGAGACTTTATGTTAGGAGCTGGTATAGTTGTAAACTTGTAATCGTACTGGGATCGAATGAACACAACAAATGTTGGTAGTTCAACACGAACTTATATATATTGGTATTATTTGTCACTTGATTTTACCGTATAGGTTCATACAGGTGAATCCAATCCACGGTTTTTCTAGCTTAGAGCATCTCCAGCCGTTCGGCTCCCCAATGGCTTAAAATAGCGTTGTCTGGGGGCCAACTGGCGATAAAATAGGCGTGGGGTAGTCGGTTTCCCAACCACCGCCCCGAGGTCGTCCTAGACGCCGTTTTTCTAAAACTAAACTCGGTTAAAATTCGGCCAAACACGACACAAATTTGAAAAAAAAAGGTATTTCATTGATATTTGTATAAATTAAAAACATAACTTAAAAACAAACTAAAAACATGGACGACTACTACTACTATGCTACCGCCGCCGCCCGCCGCCTTCAACCTTCTACATGCCAGAAAAAGGGTCATTTGTCCCGGTTCTGGAACCGGGACTAAAGGGTCGTTACTAAAGCTCCCCCTACGAACCGGGACTAAAGGCCCTCACGTGACCGCTGCGTGGAGGTCCATCTTTAGTCCCGGTTGGTAACACCAACCGATACTAAAGGAAAAATTATGATTTTTTAAAAAAAATCTTGAATTTTCAAATTTCTGAATTATTTTAACCTCTAATCTCTAATCACCCCTTATCACTGCTCAATTTAACCTCTAATCTCTAATCACCCCTCATCATTCCAAATCATCTAACTTCCCGGATGGTCACCCATCCTCTTACTACCCCAGCCTGAGCACGCGCAACTTCCGGGTTTTATTCTCCCTCGTTTCTAAGTCTGCACTTGTTGTTTTCCTGACAATAATAAGATGTCAATCCTATTAACTCTCAGGAGTTTAGCTTGAGCATGAAGTCACACATTTCACTGTTTGAGTTTGAAACTATCGTTCTAAAAAATAGTAATTATTTAGTAACACTAATATTTCTTGAATAAGTAGTTTGACCATTGTTTGACCACAGTTTGACCATAGTTTGACCAGATTTGACCAAAAATCAAAAAAACTAAAATAATTATTTAGTAACACTAATATTCTTGAATAATTATTTAGTAACACTAATACTTCTTGAATAAGTAGTTTGACCAGATTTAACAAAAATTCAAAAAAAACTAAAATTTGAGCATAACTTTTTTCCTTTTAGAATTTGAGAATTCTAAAAATTTGCAAACAGGCCGTAGGCTGTCAAAATCGGATGCGGATTTTCGTGCTGAACATTTTGATATATTATACTTTTTTCTGACATCGTATGCAAAAGTTATAGCTGTTTTACATTTTCCCTACACTTTTTGCAAAACATGTCCAAATTTAAGTTTTTAAATTTTCATATGTAGTAACATAACTACATCTCGAAGGATTTTAACTTTTGAAGTTTTACCATTTTCTTTTGCTTTTTACAAAACTGAAAAGGCGATACACAGGGGGGGTGAATTTGAAAATTGCACCATTAGTACCGGTTCGTGGCACCAACCGGTACTACCTTTAGTACCGATTGGTGCCACGAACCGGTACTAATGCCCCAATCCCATTTGTCCCGGTTGGTGGCTCGAACCGGGACTAAAGGTCTAACCTTTAGTACCAGTTCGTGCCACGAATCGGTACTAATGGGCATCGCACCCTTTAGTCTCGGTTCGTGTCACCAACCGGGACTAAAGATCCCATTTGAACCGGGACTAATGCTTGTACGGTGCCCTAGCCGCTCGAACCGGGACTAATGCTCACATTAGTCCCGGTTCGTAATGCAACCAGGATTAATGCTCTTTTCTGGCCGAACCAAAGCCCTATTTTCTACTAGTGTGGTGTAGTCGCCGCCGTCCTTGTTGCACCCCTGACCCGTGTCGCCGATGCGTGGGGGGTTGGACGGCCCGGGTGCATCGTCGTCGTTGTCGTCGAGGATGACGATGGCGCCCTCGTCGCGGCCGCGGCCGGGCAGTGATCTCCTTGAGGGCGCGGTGCTGGCGCTCCATCTCCTGCCAGACGTAGTCGTCCCGCGCCCATTTCAGGCCAATATGATATTTACAATTCCATGGCGAGCATGCAGTGTGTAGAACTAGATAAATCATTAATTCTAAAAAAGTGAAACAATGATACAGAAAAAGTCGACACTCAAGTAACTACTGCATGAAAATATCATACTGCAAATTTTACATTGCCCATGAATTCTCAGTTATTACCTTTTATACAATGGTGTCCCTGATCAAAGATCTCCTACCAAGGACAGAAGTGATACCAAACCTGAAAAAATATCACTTAAATAACACCTCCGGTAATACAAATTCCATTATTAATGCAGACCATAGAATCCTGGATAAGTGGATTGCATACCATACAGTATGCAGTACACATGACATCACATATCAGTTATATGTACTGATAGGAAGAGATATTCAATAGGATGCTCCAGGTAAAAGTTTTTTTTCAACAGATTATTAGAGAGGCGATAAAAGCTCTAGATCAAGACAACCTAAAAAATACTCCATTATAATTCTCGAAAAATTATAAGTCTAAATAGAACAAATACAGAACCATCCAAGCTATTGATGTATTAACTATCAGCGGCACCTGGTCAAGTATTTTAAGAGAAGAGCCCAAGAGAATGAAATGAAAGCAGGCCCCGGGCTCTAAAAAAACACCTTCAACAAACTTAAACTTCCATCCTATTAGTTAATCTAGACAACCAGAGAACCTTGTGTATGGATTGTCCTAGGCAATACAGATTGACTCTCTCAAACCAAAGAAATAGCTTCGTCAGATTTCGCCAAAAGTGACAAATCAGTACGACCTGGGACAATACGAGAGCATATCCAGAGCTCATACGAGCACTCAAGCAAGGTGATTTGGAATTGGAGACCTACATGGGCCATTGCAGCAGTGCTTTTTTGCTTGCTGTGACAGGTCATCTCCTAACACTGTTCAGACTTTCATTGGGTGGGACTCTAGAAGGATGGCACCTGATATGATCAATCGATAGCGGCGGTAACAGTGAGGCATTAAAAGCATGCAAGCCAACAGAGAGCAGGCAAGGCGGTGGATCAGGTGACACAGCAAGCCTGTGTTGCACCGCAGGCACTGTGGCGGTGAACCTGAGCATTTGGACTTTGATAAAGTACCTGCTGAACAAGGCTGCATACCTGCACTATGCAACATAACACAATCAACACTACAATTGTTCAAGTATGCATCATGTTTCATGCAGATCAATCAGTATACCTTTTCCTCAGCACAACCATAAAGTTCTCCTGGCAGAATAACTACATGATGTACATACCACCTTGCAAAGCTAAGTAAAAAATTTGATAAAATGTAACTGAAATTTTAAAAATTCACTAAATACTGGTCTGCATTTTTAGATACTAAAAAAATTCAATAGACAACTGCAGAACCGAGAGATCAATGGCAGGAACCCTGAAACTAAATCCTAGGCCAAATCGATGGCTAATTCAAGCACATTTTTCTTTCATTCCTCTAATCTAATCATGCTACTCAGCTACTGTAAAGGAGGTCCAAATATTGTTAAGTAGAGCCGAGGAATAAAGCATTGGAAACAAAACAGAAGTGATCAATCTTCTTGTTCTGTGCCTGTAAAACACTAATCAGACTGGGTATCCAAAATAAATCAAGTCAATGTAAAAGAGATAAATACAAATAATTTTTTTTTCATTCCAGTAAAAATTTCCCCCAGCACGTTATGTATGCGGATGCACAATAATAATAGAGTGTGCTGACATTATAAACTTATTATTATTGCAGGCCAAACTGAACCTTAAACACAAGTAGGCCTAGAAAGATAACATATACGTATTAAGCATTGGCAATTTGCCACACATGGAATCTGTTTCAAATTAAGATATGCCACTAACTCCATTGTAAAAGAATTAAACGAGAAGTCTTCATGAGAACAATGGAGGAAGGGCTCACCACAAGTTTAGGTTCGTCGATCTGGACGTGGCATCGAGAAGGACAACGGGATAGAGGGGCTGGGTGGAGCTAGCCATCGTGTGATCCTCATCTAAGAGGCACATGTATGCTTCTCGCTCATGTCGCCATGTCGGTCCTGTGCAGCCGCAGCCCCAGCTCAGATGAATCAATGTTACAAATGACATGAATGTTCAGTAAATTCTCATCTCCAAATCTAGTGCGTTTAATGAATCAGATGTCAAACGTATCCTCGAAAAAAGACATCCAAGGCGATCTGCACTGATCTTAAGAACATTCTTCAGCAGCAGATCAGTGGAAGTGCAAGACAATAGCAGATTGTCAAATTCTATCATTGTCCCTTGAACTCCTAAGCTTGAGAACACACAAATGCTTCTATTTATTTAACGCACCTCTGCTTCAAACTTCTGAATTGTTGCTACTTCTGAATTCTCTGATTGTAGTGTGACAACTTCTGACATTTCTGATTGTATGCAAATTGGCATAAATCTGTTGTCTATTCGCCAAGCTTTTGATGATGAATCAGATTGATGCAACATTACTACTGTAAGATCTAGATTGAGACGAGGGTTAAAAATCTTGCAATATGATCACGATATGTATCAGATTGAAGCGGCAAGCTTAGCATTTCTTCAGATATTTCCGAGGGAACAGCAGGGTTGAACAGTGTTGTTACTTCGGGTCTGAATAACAGTACCGAGAGCACGTTTTCTTACAAGATGACAGCCGGAACATGATCTAACTACAGGTCAACATCGATCCATCACACGCCAGAAGAGATTTGACAAAGAGCCTAAGAGGAGGTGAACTTGGTGACGGCCTTGGTGCCCTCGGAGACGGCGTGCTTGGCGAGCTCGCCGGGGAGGACGAGGCGGACGGAGGTCTGGATCTCCCGGGACGTGATGGTGGGCTTCTTGTTGTAGCGGGCGAGCTTGGCCGCCTCGCCGGCGAGCTTCTCGAAGATGTCGTTGATGAAGGAGTTCATGATGGACATGGCCTTGGAGGAGATGCCGATGTCGGGGTGCACCTGCTTCAGCACCTTGAAGATGTAGATCTTGTACGTCTCCACGCTCTTCTTGGCCTTCTTCTTCCCGCCCTTCTTCTCGCCGCCCTCCTTGCCGGCGGAAGTCTTCCCCGCCGGCAGCCGCTTCTCGCCCTTGGGCTTCTTCGCCGCGGGGGCCTTCTCCGCCGCGGGCTCCTCCTCCGCGGGCTTCTTCGCCGCCGGCTTCTTCTCCGCCTTGGGCGCCATGGACGCTGCTGCCGCCGCCGCTTCGGAGGTGAGGTGGGGGTTTCGGTGGACGGTGGGAGAACTGGTGGGGAATTGGGGGATGGGTTGTGGCGAGACGGGGAGGGGATGGAGAGCTTTATAGGAGGGAGGAGGTGGGCGCTGATTGGTGGAGGGGTCGTGCCGCGGATCGGTGACATGGAGTGATGCCAGCCGTTCGCCGCTGTCTGCGATGGACGAGCCAGATGCACTTCGGCGCGGATAGCTGACGTGGCGAGCAGGTGACGGGTTTTTTTTTTTGTTTTGAGGATAGCAGGTGACGGGTTTCGTTCGGCTCACGCGCGCGCATGTACAAATTGGAGGATCCCTCAAAAAAAAATGTAGCAATGTGAAAAGTTTGTAATTTTACGGAGCTGCATTCTAGGTCCCAGCTGCCAGTGACACGGAACCTGGCTACCAAAGCCAACAGGTTCAGAAACATAAGGAAAAACCTGTACTTAACTTGATGGTAGCTGCATCCTTATGGAGCATTTGGAAATTAAGGAATGGTTTCTGCTTTCAGGGCCGTACCTGGAGGAATGTCAGATGTGTGCTAGCAAAATTAAGCTCCCACTTGCATCAATAACCTTGTTTGGATCCCTAAGTTAGAGTTAGTTCTAATTAGTTGGGGCTCAAATAACCAAAAAGTATTCAAACATGATGGGTTAGTTTGGGTTAGTTGGATCTAACCCACCCAAAAAACTAGCCCACACTAGAGGAGCTTATTTGGGTTAGTTCTCCTGGGCCCACTAGAAAAAATAGTAAAAAATATTACCCCTCCCATCCAAATAGGGTCCAAGTAGTCAAATGATTGAGAAATATTATTTATTGTCAATCTAACCCTACCATCCAAACAACTCTTTGGTTAGAGTTAGTTCAGGGTTAAAATCTAACTCTAACCTCTAACTGAGTTAGAGTATCCAAACAGGGCCAATGGAAGGTTATCTGCAACGACACTCAGGCGCCCTTGCTGCGTCAGTACATCCGTCTCCTGGACAAGCGACGGGAGGAACTCCTGCGGATTGCCTGGAGGTGACTTCTGGGAGCAAGATGTGAATATGTAGTGGTCGAACTTCAGACTATCTCTTTTCAGGTCGATGGACCTTGTAATAAGCAGTTGAACTTCCAGTAGCGTTTGGTGTTCGGTGGTCGTTTTCTGCCGTGGCTGAGTTGGGTTGTGGGGTACCTTGTCCCCCGGATGTACCATGTGCTGTTTAAGACTCTGCTTTGTAGCTTCCGTTTCGCTTCATTAATAAAAATGGGGCGGGGGGAAACCCCTTTCATTCAAAAAAAATGAACTTAGAACAATATTGTGTGTGCCAAATCTCCGGTGGCCTGTATGTGAGGTGTAGGCCCATGTTGTTCGCGCATGTGGTAGTGGATCACATGAAATTTACATAAACTTTGACAATTCACGATATTTGCAGGAAATCATTGATGTGATCTATTTGGTCTCAGCGTTAGTGATAGGTTCCTATCCACTCACAATATCTATGAACTTGTTGAGTACTTCCTGTAGACCTGTACTCATATTTTGGTATTCTACTCTCTATAATCTGAATATTTGGAGGAGATGTCAGATGGCCCCGAAGCAGCCAGAGAGTACTTCTACTCCATCTATGTCAGATGTCAAGCGTAGTTGAAGGCGGTGACTACTTCGTAGCTTATGGAGCAGACCAGAAAGAAGAAGGGTCAAGCGTAGTAAACAACTTGGTCACGTCGGTCGTGATTAAGCCTAGGATATCAATCGTACTATCATGGTGGTGCCATGTTTTCAGGTGCCAATGGTTTGAAACTTTTGAAAATTGGTTTGAAATGTTACAAGTTCGTATTGGACACGCTATGTTTCTGTTGTACAACTCGAAGGGATATAAGGTTCATGAGACGGCGTTTCATGGGCTATATGTCAAAGATAGGCACGCTACACCATGTAGTGGTGTGTCGCCATGCTTCTCCACCTACCTCCAGCCACTTATATAGTCTCTACTCCATCTATTTTCTAGGGCTAGCATAGCACATGAACAGATTTCGATAGAGCTTTGCTCATCTTTATCTTTTCTTGGAGGATCAAGGCCTCCTTTAGGAAAAAAAATCCCTTGTGGATTACCAAGAACTCCACGTCCTTTGGATTGGAGAAGACTATCTCTCAAGACCCCGTCACTCTTAGAGATTTGGGAAGAACCCTACATTAGTTAGCAATTACCCATGTTTGTGTTGGATCTTGGTGTGTATCTTCCTTGGCGGTGATTTGAGTAAACTTGTGTGGTGAACCTTATCATTTGTGTTTCTTCTTGAGATTGATGTGATCTTTGCGATTTTTCTCCATTTCCACCTCCAAATTATGAAGGTTTGGCAACAATAGGAGTTGGTCCTATATCACCAGCACAAGGACAAACACCACCAACCATGAAGGAGACTTTCATCGAAGTACACTACATCAAAGGAATGCCACTCTATGACAAAGAGGAAAAGGGTAATACGTATTGTAATCTAATACCATGGTCCGATTCATATCACAATACGTCCCCCATGCACTGACACTGAGTATTTCATAACCAGGGCTATATAAAGGGTACCGAAGCATCGTAGAAGGGGATCCGTCTTTTTTTTGCCTAATTTAGCCTACACAGCCTATAAGATTCACAACGCCTGTCGTCGAAACACCACCACAACTCAAGTTTCTCTAACTCGATGAGTAGGCCATGATACTCTGTTTGTGGCTCGTCTTCTACTAGATGCTATCCCGCATGTTGCGACAGGAATATGTTGCAATATATGTCAATAAGTTTTGGGTGTATGAAACATTTGGATTAATAATATATGAAAAACAAAAATACATATTATATATTGTATTGGATTATCGTATAGTTAAAAAATATCTATTGACCATAGGTACTATAATATAATGGATTTTTTTTCATTCATGTTGGGTGTGCCTTTGATAATGTGACATGTGCATGTTGAAACAAATAGTACTCCCTTCCCAAATATAAGTTTCTAGAGATTTCAACAAATGACTACATATAGAGCAAAATGAGTGAATCTACACTCTAAAATATGTCACATGCATCTGTATGTTGTAGTCCATTTGAAATGTCTACAAAGACTTATATTTAGGAACGGAGGGAGTAGTGGGGATCTACTAATAATGAAAAATAATTCTCATGCATCTTATGGCGAACCTTTGAAGATGTGGCATGTGTGCATGTTAACATAGTAGAAGTAGTGGGGATGAACTATTTAGGTATATAGGATTCATGATTTTCATGGCATCATTTCCCGGACTACAAATTTCACATACACTACCTCTAATGCTGCTATTAGGACTCAAGACCAAAATTACTCAACAGGACTCCATGGTACGATTTGTTTCCTTGTTGGTTCTACTCAGCATATACATCTACATGTTCTTGCTACATATGTTGGCTTGCCTTTATGGTTCTCGGTTTAATTCATACAAACGATCAGGCAGGCAGAGAGGATATGTACAGTACGTGTGAAACAGCAAATACTGAACTGGCAACTATTCACAACATGATTTTGTTGGCCACATATCAAAATAAGAAGGACAACAATGAAAAACAAAATCCAGTTTCAACTACATATTTTCTACACAAGTACATGGTATGTGTTGAACAATGTGATCATCCCAATGACACAGTATAACCACATAGTACTTTCTATCATACCACATATTTCCCGTTGCAGCTAACTCAACCTTCTTCAATCATCACAGTGAAACACAGTGCATCAACATACTAATACCTGTTAGAGCACAAAGATTTTTTAAAAAAACAAGAAGGCTACCACTGCCCGGCATTTACCCCTTAACAGTTAACTCAACATTCCATCAGTTCCATCTCCATTTAGGTCGACATGAAGTCAGAATGTAAGATGGTGCCGCTGAGGTGAAGATCAGAACATGCCATCACCAGCCATCAAAGCTGTCTTCAGAGTTACCAAGAAAGTTTAATGTGCAAGTGATGTATCAACAGCTATTGAAAGATGAAAAAGATGCTGTTACTCCTTGGGCAACTGATCATGAGGCTGGGAGACGAAAAATTTAGCGTTCTCTGCAACCTCTGCTTCAAGCACAGCCTCCAGGAGTATATCTGAACCTTTTGGCTCACCTGTCAAGATATAATAACACGGAACATATATTGGTCTGCAGTGATAGGAGAGTTGTTGCAGCATATCACTTAAGAGCATGTATAGTGGTTAATAAGGCAATTCTCTCTTATGTATTCCATGTCATCTAGAGAAGACAAAAACAAAACATGTTATACAATGCATTATATGTTGGTGTTAGCTCTAACAATTGTACTCTTATGATCCTAAAATCATGGGGTGGTTGAAATTAAATTAGAAAACGTGCAAACAGGAGAAGGCATATCTAGTACAATGGGGAAAATGTATTATCTTTATTTATTATTAAGAGATCATCTCTTTCTTAGCTAAGAGAAGGCAATATTTTTTCTTTGTTTCTCTCTTCCACCTCATCAATTATCCTATGTGGCATTATTACAATAAGACTGTTGAACACAGGAAATGCTCATGATCTCCTAGGTGCTCCCCTCAACCATATCTCAACTACCAAAAAAAACATAGGGATCTGTGCCCCATCCTGTATTCCTGTGTGTATATCATCTCTTACATAACATGTATTCATTTATTGTTATCCTATCCTATATACTTAAGAAGTTGATCCCCACTAGTTCTATTTATCTCAACATGCACACATGCCACCTCATCAACCCCATTACTTTCATTTCTCTCAACATGCATGGGAAATGCTACTTATACTGCTTCTCTCAACATGCACGCATCCCAATTCATCAACCCCCTACTTTATTTATCTCAACATGCATAAGAAACACTATTCATATTCTACAAATATTTTACAACTATATAATAATAAAATATAAATATAATAAATCATTTTATTTGCAGTCTTGATTCCCATATTCAGATTCCAGACAACCAAACCTCATCAAAATAATACATTGCAACCAATTCCCGCAGCAACGCTCGGGGTATCATCTAGTTTTGATAGAGACTTGTTGACTCTGGAATGGACATGGATTTTAGACTTGTGTTATCTGTCTAGAAATAGGATTTGAATATCCACCATGATTATCCACTAGTACTTCCGCTTGTCATGTACAGGACATAATATGAAGGGCACTTAATGAACATGGCAAGATCAGACTACAACTATGGTGGCATTAGAGTACCGCTAGCCAAGGTAATTGGAACAATGAAATTTAAGACTGAGTGAACCCTTGATGCTTATCTTAGATCCAAAATGGTACAGCTGGAGCATCATTTAAAAATGTCAGGAATTTTATCTCAGGTACCCTTGCCAAGAGAATTCATGGGTTGTATGAACCTATACTTCACCGTCGTGCAAAGTGAATATAGTTGCTGGTGATTTTGGAAGCAATCCAAACAAACATATGCTGCAGCAAATTTAAAAACATCACCAACAGATGTTACATCGTGGGAAAGAAGACAACGGCGGAGCTATGTTGGGGCCGAGGGGGCCATGGCCCCCCCAGCTTTGGAGAAAACCCTGAAGATTTTTTTTTTGAAGGGCCAGGATGAGGTGAAAATTAGCCTTTTGCCCCCCCAGCTCTTTGTCATTTACGTTTCACCCCCCCAATGGTTTTGGTCTAGCTCCGCCACTGAAAGAAGATATGGAAGTCTTCCTCTGTATAACTACAGGACTTAGTTTTGTGGTTAGGTTTTTCTCTATGACTATCACTCACAATTTCTTGATTCTTGAGTTATATACCACTAACAAAATGTACAGGTTCACTGAATAAGTCAATGACCATATAGTAAAGTGGTAGCACTAGCAGAAAAATACATGTTAGGAGTTAAGATCGTTGTTTATGTACCTGTGTATTTCGGAAGCAATCCAGCACTTTCAGCTGATATTGGGAGTACATTTAGCAGTCCATTGCTCTCTTTGAATTGTTCTCCATTACTCACACTCATGGAAGAACTCATCTTAATTCCTGGGGATACACTTAGCTTGGAATACATCATTGCTTGGCTGTGCAGATTTGTAGAGCTTGTATTCGCTGATTCCATGTCCTACGGGAATCAGCAATCAATGCCTAATAAAGTAGCTCATGCATTAAAATTGACGAGACATGTCATCATACCTTAGATGTCATTGCAAATTTACTAGTTACATCGAATTGTGTAGCTTCAGCTGTTTGTTCTGATATATTGGTAAAAGGAATCATTAGTCATCAAATAAAATAAAGCATGGGAAAAATACTGAATCGTAAAGGAACAAGCATGGTATTATAGTGAAGGAAAGACATTATAATCACCAGAGTTCTGAATTCCGTCAGGATTATTTAACCTCCTGGTAAATTGATCAGGATTTTTTCTACAAAAGCTCTCAATTTCATCACGAATTATACTGCGAATATCATCACGAAATTCTCCGGACTGCATAATCATAGTAAACTCTGTCAACTAGACTCAAATTGCCACAGCCCTAGAATATGGTAATATAATAAATGCATTAGCGAGCATTTGCATGCATCATGTTTTAACTTTAAATTAATTTTGAATTGAGAGAATTTCAAAGCCTCATGTTTTTGTTGAAGGGCAAAACCCTAAATGTTCTTCAATGTATCCAAAATGCCTTTCTAAACCCTAGAAATTTTGGAAAGAGCTTATAATAAATATCAGATTCTTCCCAAAAAAATTAGAAGTTTAAGAAGAATTATTTTGGGCCTTGAATTTAAATCATTATTGTATTTGATTTGGATTAAATTTTACCACCAAGGAAAGGATCCGCGGCAACTGATCCACCGTACCAACTTGTACCCGAATGAAATCACTGCTCCCACAATGCCACCTGAACTGCCGATCTTCACTGCCGCCAAAAAGGTAGGAAATTGGGTGGGATTTTACCAGCTTGTGGAGCCAACCACTCAATCCAGAGAGAAATCGCCGCCGAATCCATGGATCAGTAAGTTCTGAGTACCAATTTGTCAGATCCCAGTGAGGATCCAACAGAATTGACAAAGAAATCGAGCAATTTGCAGAACAGAACTAGGATTTGAGGCCGATCAAGGAGGCCATTCTATATTACTGTAGCTGTACATTGTATCAAGTTCTAGCCATTGAAGCAGAATAACAAGGGGAATAATGGAAATGTTGCCAGAGCCCGGCATTATATAGGCGCAGAAAGTAATTCTCGAGTAAAAGTAACTGTAGTTGATCCGAAGCGTTAAATTTGCCTGAAGCCATCATAGCCGTCGAGCGAAGCAAGATAGGGCATCCGATAACTGAACTTTATCGACACTTAAGAAACATCTTCAGAACAGATGTAGAGGCTGATACATATCCAAACCTAAATTGCATTTCTATGAAGCATCCTACGCATTTTATGCTATAGCGTGCTATTTAAAACAATAGGATGAACTATGTACAAGTGCATTTGGGCGTTCAACCCAACAATGAACTATGACAACGTTACCGTACATCAACGTATGCAATAGATAATTTAATTAGCCAAATACTTATATTAAGACAGAGAAAATGAGATGTCATACCTGAGTTGCAGAACTATCAGATGTTCCTGCTTCAGTCATGCTCTCTGATGTTTAAACAAAGGTCCTATTAGTTTAAGTCAAATGCAGTACTCTGAATTTCTGTAGTAATCATATACAAAAAGTTACCTGTGTTGTGCTGCCTTTTGATAAACTGGCCAGGAGTTATTCTAGATAAGTTCTGAACTTCATAACCAATTGATTGTAACTTTGACATAGCATCTTGAAGCTCTGTATTAATCTGAGTAATGGAGGGGCGCAAATTAATTGTGCATAATAATCGAGAATTTAAACACAAGAATGTCTCAATTATGTTGAATAGCATGAACTATTAGCAAGTTAGCATTGATAAATCATTCAATCTGTTCCAGTTTATCATTATTATAAATAAAAAGCAGCCTCCTAACAGCATATGCAACGTGTGGAACTGTAGCTAGCAACTATTTTTCTGAAAACAGCTAACTGTAAGTTTCCTTTGCTTACAGATATTATGACAATCTCACACTGTGAATGCACATGATGCAAACAAACAAATTTACATGAACTTAGGTATGGGTGGTTATGAGTCAATGCACATGATGCAAAGTTCTGCCATGGTCTCTTACAGACAGCTGCCTAACTATCTCACACTGGGTCGACAGAGGAGATCGGGTTCGGTCCAGTGGTAAAATTCCTCTCTCCTTCGTTAGATCAAGGCGATGGGGCGCGGCGCGAAGAGTTTGGACGAATCAGACTTGCAGGAGGTTGCTGTCCATGAAGGACGAATTCCTTTCTCAACAGCAAGCGACGACGGATCTGAGAGTGGACGTCAATTTGCTCAAGGCCGACGTGGTTTCCATTCTTTCTTCACAAGGTGAAAACTCTGAACAAGTAGGAGATGTTCAAAAGGCTGTCCTTGATCTGGGTAAATAGCTAGCTGCTACGAGCTCTGTTCTGAAAACTATGCAACCACAGAGCTCTAGGAATGCTGAGAAACAGCTGGTTACTGAAGACTTGGAGCATGTTAAATCTCCCACTCTGCAGCAAAGTCAACTAGAACAGCATAATACCAGAACTGAAGTTCTCAGGAAACAAATGGAATTGGAGAAGGAACTCAACAGGCACTGTGAGTCTGACAATTTGCAACAGCCACCTGATGGTGTCAATGACCATACACCTACTGCTCCTTCTCCAGGACAAGCTCATACTCCTGCTTTCAATCAATTCAACCAAAGCAGGGAGAGACAGCTTTGGCAAGGTTATTTCAAGACTTATGAACAGGAAATGAAAGCATAGTTCCATGAAGTCTATAACAAAAGGGCCTAAGATGGATTTTCCCAGATTTGAAGGAGAAGATCCTGTGAGATGGATTAGACGGTGCAATAGATATTTCCAAATGGCTGCAGCTCCTGAGAATTACAAAGTTTCATTGGCACAGCTCTATATCATTGGAGAGGCTGATGTCTGGTTAAGGAGGTCTGGGCTATTGAAAAAGTAATTGACATGGCCTGAATTCTGCACTGAATTGACAAAGAGATTTTCCTCCAAAGGTTCCTATGATTTAACAGAGAAGTTTAACACAGTCAAACAGAACAATCTAACAGTGTTGGAATACACCAAAATATTTGAAGATCTCCTGGCTGATGTGCAGGAAGAAACACCTGAACTTTCTGAACTCTGGTTTGTGAGGTGCTATGTAAAGGGACTTAGAGAGGGCATCAAGTATCAAGTTAGACCCCTTAGACCTCAGACACCTACTGATGGTTATTGGTTAGCGAGATACTGAGCCATGTCACCCTCCTAAGAAGCCTCCAGTGCCATACAACAACTTCTATCAGAGACAGAACAATACAGCGCAGCAGAGAAATGTGCCCCACCAATTACCTCAACAACAACCCCTAAAACAACTGGAACCTCCTAATGCTCAGTTCCAAAGAGCAAGGAAAGTGGGAGAGTGCTGGAGATGTGGAGATAAGTGGGTGCTGGATATGAGTTCTGGTCATGCCTTTTGGCCTGTCAACTGCTCCAAGAACTTTTCAGGCTGTGATGAACAACATATGTGGGCCTTACTTAAGAAAATTCTTGTTAGTTTTCTTTGATGATATCCTGATATACAGCTCAAATCTGAGTGACCACATCAAGCACTTGCAGATAATTTTCTCCCTTTTGAGGAAACATCAGCTATTTGTCAAAATGTCCAAATGTGTCTTTGCTGTTCCCCAGGTGGAATATTTGGGACATATTCTCTCTGCTGATGGTGTTTCTATTGATCCCTCTAAGATCCAAGCAGTTGCAGATTGGGTTACCCCTACTACTGTCACTCAGTTGATAAGTTTCTTAGGGCTGGCTAGTTAATACAGAAGAATCATTAAGAATTATGGAATCATGTGTAAGCCACTGCATGACATGCTCAAAAAGGGCCAGTTCAAGTGGTCTGCAGCTCAGGACACTGCTTTTCAGCAGGTGAAGCAGGCAGGGATCTCTGCCCCTGTTCTTGCATTGCCTGATTTCTCCACTCCTTTTATACCGGAAACTGATGCCTCTGGCACTGGAATTGGAGCTGTACTTATGCAAAATGACATGCTCAAAAAGGGCCAGTTCAAGTGGTCTGCAGCTCAGGACACTGCTTTTCAGCAGGTGAAGCAGGCAGGGATCTCTGCCCCTGTTCTTGCATTGCCTGATTTCTCCACTCCTTTTATACCGGAAACTGATGCCTCTGGCACTGGAATTGGAGCTGTACTTATGCAAAATGGAAAAGCATTGGCTTACTAAGTTACTATAGTGCAGCTCTTTGCCCTAGGAATTCTGTCATGTCTACTTATGAAAAAGAAGCACTAGCTATAGTAGAAGCTTTGAAGAGGTGGAGACACTATTTTCTGGGAGCAAAGTTAATTATCAAAACAGACCAGCAGTCTCTGAAGTTTATCACTGATCAGAGACTTACAGAAGGCATTCAACATAAGCTAATGATGAAGTTACTGGAATTTGATTTTTTCCATTCAGTACAAAAAGGGTATCTACAACAGAGTAGCAGATGCTCTTTCTAGAAAAGTTCATCAGTTCATGACTGTCTATGGGAATTCCTCTCTGGGCACATGATTTATATGACAGCTACCAACAAGACAATCTCTACAAGCCCATTTTGGAACAGCTGCTCTTACACAACAATGCCTCCCCTACAGAATACTCCTTTCACTTTGGAATCATCAGGTATAGGGGCAAGATTGTTGTGGGTGACAATACTGAACTGAAAAAAAACTGTTGACAGCCCTACATTCCTCTCCTATCGGAGGACATTCTGGTATGAGGGCTACTTAATCGGAGAATTAAGAATATTTTCTTTTGGCCTGGATTAAAGAAGTTTGTGGAGAATTATATTGCAGTGTCCTGTTTGCCAGAGCCAAAGGTGAGCATTGTCTTATACCTCATCTCTTAGACCCTCTGCCCATTGCTGATATGGCCTGGCAACACATTACCATGGACTTTATAGAAGGATTGCCTAATTCTCATGGGAAGGAAGTGATAGTGGTGGTAGTAGACAGATTTACCAAATATGCCCATTTTATTCCACTTTCACACCCCTACACAGTTTAGTCTGTTGCTACAGCTTTCTTGGAGAACATTAGTAAGTTGCATGGCCCTCCTAAACTGATAATATCTGACAGAGATAGAATTTTCAGCAGCCAATTGTGGAAAGATATATATTCACTGGGCCGGTGCAGCAACGAACCATAAGCGGCAAGTGTAACAACTCCTGCACTTGCGCCGGTGCAGCAACGAACCATAAGCACAGATGGCAACAGTAACAACTCCTGCACTTGCGCCGGTGCAGCAACGAACCATAAGCACACGCGGCAGCGGCAACAAGCAGATTGCATTTTTTTCCCCTTTTGAGTATTTATAGTTTTTCTATTTCATCTCTAGTCTAGCCGATTTTCATGTAGACCAGCAGGCAACTAGGCATGTACCTTGTTTGATGTTGTGTTTCAACTTCAAAGTGAGGTCAGTAGCAATTAGGCATGTAGGTATGCAGCTCGTTTGATTGGACATGATTTTCCTCGCACAAATATTGGGAATGATTGACGGGCATTCAAAGAAGTATGGTATAAATTCTACGATTTGTTAAGAGTATAGTATAGAGAGATGTTTGCTATTGTTTCTTTTCAGGTCTAGGAGCATTTTTTAATTATTATTTTGACATAATGTTTACTCAAAAGACAGTTTCTAAAATTGGAAAAAGAAATGGAAAACTTCAAGGCTCAGTTTTTAAGTATTGTTAATGCTTTTTCATGTTTCTGCTAGTTGAATTTCATGAATTTTGGTTGAGTGGACTTGCATTTATACCTAAATTTTTAAAGCTTAAATGTTTGCCCCGGCTAACTTCAATTCCTAGATCCGCCATTGAGTAAGACATGGTTTCACATGGCACTAATGATGAGAAAATGTAAGCACAAAAATCAACTCACACAATGGCGCCAAAAACACATACATGTGCAAGAATCAGCAAGGTACCTTCTTCGCTGCAGTCTGCTCGAAGATGTCGTCCATCTGCCGGCGGTAGAGCATGAGGCGACCGACCGCTCTCCCGGTCATCCTCCCTGCCACCCTTGCCATCTTGATCATGTCACTGGACTCTGCCAAGAACAGATGAATCAGACTAAACGGAAAAAAAGGACCCGCGCTGCAATTCCTCACAAATTGAGAAGAGAGAGCTCCCCAAATCAACTTCTTATGGCAGTAATTCGCAACATAACCTATCCGATTTAGCAGCTCAGCCAGGCAATGAGATCAAACGAAAGGCAAGACAAAAGAGAGGTGCTGTGACTCCAGATCTTACTCATCATCACGGAGCAGGCCCCGAGGATGACCAAAAGCTGGCCGGTGGAGACGCCCAGCATCTTGTTCTCTGGAACCACCGACCCGCCGGCAGGAGAGATAGGAGATCTCACCGCCCGGCGAGGGCGGCACAGCTGGTGCGCGGAATCTGGCGCGTTGCGGTGCGGCCGTGACTCGGCTTTCGGCTGGTCCAGGGGTGGTAGGCCGACTGCAACGAATGATGTGGATCGAATAGTCAATGATAGTATGGGAAATAATAAGAAGTTGTAACGAAACCTAATCTTTTGTTGAAATCCTGTTCCGTTTGCAACAGCACAGGTCATTTGATCACACAATTAATAAACTAAGCCATATCACATATGCTACAGCAAGCATTCGTAATAAATAAACCAAGTCATATATGACATGGTTCAACAGTCATTCCTATATATTCAAGTATGATTTTTTCCTCTGCCATATCAAAGCACGAACAAACCTTCAATCAGCATATTCAGTCACACAAATTATAATATACCAAGCCATATTTGACATGGTCAAGCAAGCCTTGTGAACAAATAAACCAAGCCAAAAGCACACGCTGCAGCTACACTGATTTATCCTCCGCCATATCAAATCATGGACAAACATCAATCAATTTGTAAACAGAAGCAAGCTCATGCAGTGACATGGCAATATAAACAGCCTGGGAGAGCAAAAACTATGAATTTGTTAGCCACGAACCTTCGATTGGCCTACAGGATGTGCCGACCTTGAAACAACCTGCAAGTTCCAGAGAAATAGTTAGCATATAAGAATCCGGCATGGGAGGAATCAGGATTTAAGAAGCGGTTAAAAGTGAGGTGAGCTGACGCCGCCATGGGGTACAGGAGTGGGCGGCGACCAGCTACTAGACGGGGCGGGGAAGGGGTGGGGGAGGTCCCCGCATCCAAG